CCAACTACATTGGTTTCGTGAAATGTTTCATCGAGGTGGAGATGATGAGCAACGAGAAGCTGTTCTTGGCGCAGATGACCAGATACATCGAGCAGGCGCCGAACACCTACACCCCGGCGTGGAGCGGAGATATCCTGGAGCCCATCGGCAACGTGAAGTGCGTGTTGCCCTACGTGCAGTACCAGGGCGGCCTTAGGCCGATCTTCCCGCGTTTAGGCTTACGCGTATGATTAGTGGAGGCTCGCCCCACTCTTAGAGCGCCGCTGCGTTTTCAAGCAACTCGGGGTTGGGAGTCCGCGGGTGCGGACGTGAAAATGCATACTCCTGATTGCCCTCCTGGTCACCCCCCCCCCCCTGTCCCCTTCCTCTTTCTCGGGGGCGAGGGAAGAGGAGGCGGAGGAGGATGAGGAAGGTAGCGAGGATAGTGGGAAGCCGTGGAGATAAAGGGCGACGTGGACAAGGGCGGGGAGGAGGAGGAGGAGGAGGAGGAGGAGCATTTGATATCGCACCCCCCGCGGCCGCTCGCGGCCGGCACGAGCTTGCACTATGTCACCGCCATCTGGGCTCTAAGGCAGGGGGCTCGCACCCCTGAGACCTGAGGTGCTCTGAAACTCGCAAGGTCGCGCGAGCCCGAGGCGGCCATGGCACCTCAGAGGTCGGCTCCAGTACCTGAGATGATTCATGCGCCTGCGCCCGGGGTTGAGACCGCAGAAGCTTCTGAGGCAGAGACGATGGGTGACCAAATCGTGGTGCCTGAGGTCGCAGGGGCCGCGGAGAGCGATCTTGGGGGCTACGCGCGCTGCCCCTGCCCGAAGAAGAACTTGCAAATTTGTCAAGTGGTCAAGGTCACGAGGGCCACCCAGAAGAGAAAGGCTGCTTTTCATTGCAAGGAATGCCATAATGTCCGCGGCCGATGTGACCGCCTGGTGACTAAGCACGGCGACTTGGTCGAGGATTGGACCGAAGTGCCCGACGACACCAAAAGGAAGTTCTACGCGGAGAACTACAGCTTGGCGGGCCCAGACCTGCTCGTGAAGATGCAGGAAACGATCTAGGATACCAAGCGGATGTCGAGCCTCACGCAGTTCATGGGCCAAGGGGCCTGGCTGGACAAGGAGGACTTAGAGGCGAAGTACGAGTCAAAGCCCCACCAACTGCAGATGGTGCTGAAGAACAACAGGACCTTCGAACACCCGACGCGGAAGTGCCTCCTCTACGAAGACATCGATTTCACGTCGATTAAATTGGATGAGGAGGAGACCACGCGCACCAGGAAACGCAACGTCGAGGTCGCCCACAGGCCAGTCAGCAAGAAGCCGAAGACCGAGGGCGACGAGGATAAGGAGGAGGAGGGGGGGGAGCAGGAGGGCGTCAAGTTCACCGCTGCCCAGAAGAAGAAACTCGAGAAATGATGACGAAGCTGCAGGCTAACCGCTACGCGCTCGGCGACGGCGCGGACAACGCTTCGAAGCCTGAGCTGGAGGGGTACATCCCAGCTTTCACGGTGCCTGGCGCGAAGAAGATCATTGAGATCTGCAAGCAGGCCGAGGAGAAGACCAACTTGGCGCTGCCCAAGGGGTGCTGCGACGTCAACGAGTTGACGGAGCTCCTTAAGCAGAAGGCGGAGCAGGCCTTCAACGCCTCAAAGCGCATCGACACCCAGCTGAAGGAGGCCACGGACGCTAAGGAGGCCGAGGACCAGTCGTGATATTTTGCATGTTTTGCAAGGAACGAGGCTCGCCCGTCCTTGCTTCGAGGGTGCTCGCCGGTGCTTGGCATGATTTGGTATTCAATATACCGTTGAAGGTCACCAGCTACTCTGGGGTAAATATGTGCAGCGTTCAAAAAATCAGTTTCCTCCCTCCTTCCACCCTCCTCTGTCACCTCCACTCCCCAACCCCTTCCCTCCCCTTCTCCCTCTCGTCCCTCTCCTCCTTCCATCCCTTCCTCCATCCCTCGCTCCATCCCTCCCTCCATCCCTCGCTCCATCCCTCCTCCAGCTTTCTCCCTCCTCCTCCTCCTACTACTACTCCTCCGCCTCCCTCTCCTTCCTCCTCCTCCTCCCTCTCCCTCCTCCTCCTGCTCCCTGTATCCTCCTCCTCCTCCTCCCCCCTCTTCCTGCTCCTCCTTCTCCCTCCCTCCTCCCCCTCCTCATTCTCCTCCCCCCCCTCATCCTCCCTCCGCCTTCTCCTTCATCATCCTCCCTGCTCCTGTAGCTCCACCTCCCTGCTCCTCCTCCTCATTCACCCCTCCCCCCCCCTCCTCCCCCAGCCTTCCCTGCCCCCCGTCGTCCCTCATATTCCTTCCTCCTCCTATCTCCTCCTTCCTGCCGGTGTCACATACATGTGCGTGACATGGTTGTGACATGGTTGTGACATGCATGTCACGCGCATGTCGCACGCATGTCACATGCGAGTCACACGCCCGCGACATGGTTGTGACATGCATGTGACACGCACGTGACACGCACGTGACATGCATGTGACATGCATGTGTCATGCCTCCACCTCCTTCCCTCCTCCTCCTCCTCATTCGCCCTCATTATCCTCCCTCCCCCTCCTCATTCCTCCTCCACCCTCCTCCTCCTCCTCCTCCACCTCCTCTTCCCTCCTCATCCTCCTCCTGCTCCTGCTCGTCCTCCTCCTCTTAGTCCCTCCCCTCCCCGTCCTCCTCGTACCTCCTCCTCCTCTGCCTCTACCTCCTCCTCCTCCTCCTCCTCCTCCTCCTTTCCTCGTCCATCCTCCTCCTGCTCCTCCTCCCCCCTCCTCCCTCCTCGCCCCTCCTCCTGCTCGTCCCTCCCTCCTCCCTCCTCCTCCTCCTCCTCCTCCTCCTCCTCGTCCCTCCTCCTCCTGCTCCTAGTCATCTTCATCCCTCCTTCTCTCTCCCCCCCCCTCTTAAACTCCGCCGGTCCACGGCGCGGACATTCCAAAGGCGCGTGGATGGAGGAGAAGGAGATGAGGCGGCCATATTGAGAGCCTCTTTGGCAATCTTGGAGCGATCGTAGGGGCCTCTTGGGCTGTCTTGGAACGTCCTTGCCTCGTGGAAGCCTCGTGGGGGCCTCGTCTGCTCGATTGGCCTCTGGGGCCTCGTGTGAGCCTCGCGGGCGCCTCGTGTGAGCCTAGTTAGTGTCTTGGGCCTCTTGGCCCTCTTGGAAGTCCTCGTGGAGCACTCTCGGGGACTCTTGGGGGGGCGGAGAGGGGCCTTGGCCCCCGGAGGACGATACTCCCACACATAGCTGTTCTGGCACAAAGATAAGTCAGCGGCCGCTGGGGGGATCAGCCCCCAGATATGACAACAAGTGCTTCGCTTGCTTCGCAAGGTTTCCCACAACCGAACCAGTGGAGCTCGATCCTTCCCCAATTCAACTTATCGCGGCCGCTGCGCGTGGCCCTGCCGCGTTGTGGTCTAGACGGTCTCGGCTGGAGCCTCCGAGACATGAACATCAACGTCGATGGGGTGAATGTCTGCGACATCGAGGACCGATGCTCTAAGTACCTGGAGAACATCTTCGGTGACAAGTGCAAGGTGGGGAAGGGCAAAGGCGATTTCCTCAAGATTCTCCTCGAAGCTTTGGATCAGCCAGTTGGCGTGGCAGGCATTGGGCCGCCTTGCCCGGGGTGGTCAGCCATTGGCGTGGGAGGAGGTGTTCTCGATAGCCGAGCAGAAGTATTCAGGATGATCATCAATTGGATCATCGTGTTTGCCAAGAAGGGCATGCTGGCATTTTTCGTAGAGAACGTGGAAGGTTGCAATGCGAATCGTTCAGGGCAAGGATCGTTCATGGAGCGGGCAAAAGAAGTCCTGATCACCGTTCTCCCCAACTTCGCGTTCGATATAATCACGCTGAACGCATCTGACTACATGCCGGCACAGAACAGGAGCAGGGTCTTTTTGCGAGGACTCAGGACGACGCTCTGCCCTGAAGGGGGGGCCATCCCACCACCGCTGGGCCCCCTGGGCCCCCGCCCCTTGAAGGACTTCCTGAACCTGTGCCTCCCTAACACCGGCGTCCAGGCATTGGCGCCGCAGCAGCAGCAGAAGAACTTGACATATATGGAAAAGACATTGAAACAATAGGTCAAGGATAACAAGCTTTCTAAGGACAACATCGCGCGTTTCTCAATCGGTCGTGCAGCGGAGAAAGTGTCGTTTAAACCATGCTATCTCACGGACGTTGCCCCCACGCTCCTAACTGGTAACCGATACTTGTGGGTGTTGGCCATCGATGACCTCGAGAAGCCGCGCAGCAAAAGGAACTTGTGCATGCGCCTCCGCCCCGAAGAAAGATTCGCCCTTCAAGGGCAGCTTAATATTGCGCATATGTAAACAAAAACAGGGGGCTGACGGATAATCGCGAAGCAGCGATCAAGGATACCTCGTCTCCACTGACCCGCCCTTCCAGATCACGCCTTCCCCCCCTCATTTCCCCCTAACTGCAACTCCGCCCCTTCACCGGAGAGGGCGGGGGAAGGCCCCGGGGAGGACGGGGGGAACGGGGGGGGGGGGGGGAGGGGGGGGGGGGCGCGGGAGGGAGGATGGAGGAAGGAGGGAGGGAGGAGGGAGAGCCTGAATTTCACGACTTCGGGCGGAAGGATGAAGGATGGAGGGAGGGAGGAGGGGGGAGGAAGGTTTTTTTTTTTTGTCGCAGACGCGCCCTTGGTAGGATTCGAGCCTGCGCTCCACGAGTTTTTCGAGAGCGACGCGGCGTCGCTCAAAGCCACGCGCAACGCTTATCCTGCGAGCCTAGCTGCAGCCGCAATGGTCCCGATGATTTCTGCAATCGTGAGTGGCGTGAATTTGGAGAAATGGCCCGATGAGCAAGACGAGCCTTTCTCGATCCCGCATGACAAGCTCAAGATCGTTAGGGGGATGCTCAGCGACGATTCCCCAAATGAGATCAAATGCAGGACCCCGCCATGGGGGCCCGACTAAGAGCCCTGCCAAAAGCAACGCTGGGAGCGCTGCCCAGGGCCCCACCCGTGGACATGGGCCCTGCCAAGACCCCGCCCAAGAGCCCCAAGAAGCAGCCCGAGGCCAAGAGCCCCGCCAAGAGCCTTAACACGCAGAAGACGAACACCAGCCCCGTCAAGAGCGTTTGCAAGCGGCCCGCGGCCGAGAGCCCCGCCAAGAGCCCGGACAAGCAATCCGCGATCAAGAGCCCCGCCAAGAGCCCTGACAAGCAGCCTGTGGACAAGAGCCCTGCCAAGCAGCCCGTGGGCAAGAGCCCTGCCGAGAGTCCTGGCAAGCAGTCCGTGTCCAAGAGCACCGCCAAGAGTCCCGGCAAGCAGTCCGTGTCCAAGAGCCCCGCCAGGAGCCCTGGCAAGCAATCCGCGTCCAAGAGCCCCGCCAAGAAGCCGAGCGCGTCCCGTAAGCGAGCGGCCAAGGACATTCCGAAGGGGAAGGCAAAGGCCAAAGCCGCATCTGTCATGAGGAAGCGCCCGTCCTGCCAGAGCGCGAGCGTTGGCAAGCAGGCCAAGACGGAGGATTACTCTAGCTGGTTCAATAGTTCGATTGATGACTTCTGAGTGCTGGGATGTTTCAGCTGAGGCTCGCCCCGGCAAGTCTTTGCAGGCTTGGTGCGTACGTGCCCGTAGGTGCAACAAAACGCAACTTACTATGCATTACTTCAACTCCCCGCATCAAAAACGTACTCTCGTCAAATGCTGTCTTGAACTGGACGGCCCGATGCATCAGTACTTCCTGCAAGCTCTTGGGTGGAGGGGCGGTTCGTTTTCAAAATGGGATCCCCTCGTGTGCGCGCGTGAACTCGCCATCAATGTGAGTATTCCCAACGCTGAAGGTGCATTGCAGTATCACCGAAACGTCTTGGAATTATTATGATCCCCCTCCTCCCTGCTCCTCGTTACTCCCCAGGGCTTGCTTCGCATATTCCTCGTTACCCTATTCCTCGTCATCCTCATCAGTTTTATCAACCTCTCTCCCCCTGCAAGTTCATCCCTCATTTCATTGCATCACATCTCTTTAAGTTGACTATATATTTATATGCCGCCATCAGTATACATGTGTCTATTCACGTTTGTACCATATATATATATATATATATATATATATATATATATATACAGATTGCCCATCCCCCCCGCCCGTTCTGCTTTTCCGACTGCTCGAGCGGCCCGCGCCAGAGCAGAAGCGCATCACAGCGAGGCTCGCCCGCGCGTAGGTTGGGGCGCAATGGCTCGAACCATTGCCGAGTCGATCCAGCTGCGCGTCGAGTTCGCGAAGTGCCTGTCCAACACGATGGAAGCCGACTCGCCTGCCTTCCTGAGTGCTTGCGAGACGCGCAAGGATGAGATCATCAAGCTTCTTCGTAGCCAAGTGGTTCCAGTCGACCAGGCCAGCGAGATCCTGAGGATGTTGGGTGCCGGGCAGTTCTCGGAGGCCCACATCAATGAGATGCAGACAGTGCCGGTGGAGAGAACCTCCGACGACCTCGACGCCGCGAGCAGAGCGAGGTGTCACGCCGGCGAGAGAATATGTGGGGAGGGGGGATTTGGGCATGGAGGGTTAAGACGATGGGGGACGGGGGAGGGCAGTGATGACGGGGGGCTATAACAATTACAAGCGCTGAATTCCCGAATGGCCCAACTGCAGACCTTGCTGCGCCCGCGCAGCTACATGGTTGCCTCGGACTGGGAGAAGCTCAAGAACCCAAGCCTCGACTTCAACACGAAGTGCGTGGTTGCGATCAATCGGATGTTACGCATCGGCTGCGCGCGCCCCTCTGGGCCCTTCTACGCGGCGCTGCTCGCGGCGATTCTACTGGCTGGACATCTCAGGCCAGTCGCTGAGATGGACGTCGAGGCTAACAAAGTTATTGGCCAGCTGAACGACCTGAAGAGCAGGTACAAGCTCTGTGCTCGAGAAGCGTCGCAGCCGCCTTGCTCGGTGCACCCCGACGACGCGGGCGAGTTCAAGAGGATCCACGCCGACTTTTACCAGATGGCTTATAGCGCGGAGCCTCACTGCCCCAGTAAGGTCGACGAGGCGAGCGCGGATGGGCTCCGCAAGGCGCTGCCGGCCCGCAGGGCCCACGCGAGCGTCGCGGAGCCCAGGCCGCACCTCCGCGGTGGAGCGAACGCCGCCGCGTCGCGTTCGAATCCAGCCGAGGCATTGCTGATGGCCCTGATGGATCGCCTCGTCGGCCAACCGAACGTCGTTGCGCCAGGCTTGCAGATCTTTGGCAACCAAGGGCAGCGGAACTCCACGCAGGATCAACCGCGTCAGGACGGGCTTCTGGCCAATGGCGCAGCTGGCGCAATCGGCGAGGTCCAGGAGGGGGCGAGTGGCCCGAAGGGCAACGCGCTGGCGATCGAGGACAAGAAGGACAACCAGGAGGCGGCGCCCGTGGAGTGTCTCAGCGTCGAGGCCATGTCCGAGGAATTCAGAGGCACCGTGAAGCGGAGGCCTGCAGCAGCAAAGGGCGCTGGCAACGGTGCCGGCATGAAGCGCCCTGCTGCAACGGCAGCGACGCCTGCAAAGGCCCAGGAGACAGAGGAAAAGCAGACCCCGACAACCAAGACCAAGAAGGATGCCCCGACAGCCACGGCCGAGAAGGAGACCCCGAAAGCCAAGGCCAAGAACGAGACTCCGACGGCGAAGAAGTTCGCGTACCCTGGCACGAAGTACGCGGATCCAGTCCGCATCGGGGAGTTCATCATATACACCGCGGTCAAGGATCAGAAATGGAGGGCCAAGCCTTCTTGGGGCAGGGTGGACAAGGCGTTCAGCTGGAGGCTGCATGGCCCCAAGGAGGCGCGGTCTCGCGTCTGCGCTCACGCGGCCACCAAGAAGAAATGATCGCGAGGCTCGCCAGCGCGAGGCTCGCTCGCCAGCGCGAGGCTCGCCCGCGCTGGCATTCTGGACGAGGTGCGCAGGCTCAGCAGGGACGCGGGCCTTGCAGACAACGCTCGACAACCAGAAATCTCTTCGTCATCATCCCACCATCCCTCATCATCCCTGTTCTCTCCTCCCTCCAATTAAACCTCCATCCTCCTCCATCCTCTGCCTCGTCCCCCCTCCTCCTTCGCGTGCTGTTTTTCGCTATCCCCCACTTCCTCGCCCGTGTATTTCTCCTCCTGCCGTAGCTCCCCCCGCTCCCAAGCGGCCCCAAGAGGCCCCCGAGAGGCCGCAAGAGTCCCCCAAGAGGTCCCCAGGAAGCCCCCAAAGACCCCCGAGCTCCCAAGGGGCCCCCAAGATCCTTCCAAGAGACCCCCAAAGCGCTCCCTCCAAAAAGACCTGCAGGAGCATCCCTGAAGACTCCTGACCCACGTCGGCGTCGTCGTCGCCGCCGTCGTCGTCGTCCTCCTCCTCCTTCAGGGTCGGTGGCACAGGCCGTAAGGCCTTATACACGGGCAGACAGGCAAGAGAGAGAGGGAACGTGATGGAGTGGTATCAAGAGAGAGAGAGAGAGAGAGAGAGAGAGAGAGAGAGAGAGAGAGAGAAAAAAAAAAAAAGAAGAGAGAGAGAGAGAGAAAAAGAAGAAGAGAGAGAAGAGAGAGAGAGAGAGAGAGAGAGAGAGAGAGAGAGAGAGAGAGAGAGAGAGAGAGAGAGAGAGAGAGAGAGAGAGAGGAGAGAGGAGAGAGAGAGAGAGAAGAGAGAAGAGAGAGAGAGAGAGAGAGAGAGAGAGAGGAGAGAGAGAGAGAGAGAGAGAGAGAGAGAGAGAGAAGAGAGAGAGAGAGAGAGAGAGAGAGAGAGAGAGAGAGAGAGAGAGAGAGAGAGAGAGAGAGAGAGAGAAAAAACGAAACAAAATCAACATATAATGAGAGGCATAGTCTCAGGAGGCAGCTCGGAGGGCCAGCTAGAGGAGCACGACGAACATCAGACTGGGAGGGCGAGAAGGTGGAAGTGGAGGCAGAGGAGGGGGAGGAGGAGAAGGATGAGGACGAGGGCCCACAAGGTGAGGCGGAAGATAACAAGGAGGGCTCGAGAAGGCGGGCTGGATGAGAAAGGATGGGAAAGGGCATGCCGACCGCATCTCTGCTTCTCCCCGGGCGCTGCCGACCCCCCTCGACGAAAGCCGGCGCTGCAGCTTTTGACAAAGTCACTCCGCCTGCGTTCCGCTCGCCGCGCTTATGCGACGAATGCAACACGAAGCGTGTGAAGGGCATGCCGAAATCGGCGCGGTGCCGCCATGCAAACCCTGCCGCAAGGGCCTTCGGCGGCGTTCCCTACGGCGCGGCGAAGCGCGTGAGGGGCTTGCCAACATGGGCACGGCGTCGCCGTACGGACCCTAGCAAAAAAAAAAAAAAAAAAAAAAAAAAAAAAAAAAAAAAAAAAAAAAAAAAAAAAAAAAAAAAAAAAAAAAAAAAAAAAAAAAAAAAAAAAAAAAAAAAAAAAAAAAAAAAAAAAAAAAAAAAAAAAAAAAAAAAAAAAAAAAAAAAAAAAAAAAAAAAACTTCGGTGGATTTCCCTATAGGGCCGCGAAACGCGCGAGGCGTGTGACGCGATGTACTTGCGGGGCGAAGCGCGGTCCACCATGAAAAGCTGTGAAAAAAGTTGTGAAAAGTTTTAAAACAGGGTTATAAAACTGTTAGGAACAGTTATAAACGAGTTATAAAACAGTTATATGTGTAGGTTATAACACAACTTATAACCATAGCAAGTGAACAGATCAACGAAGTAGGGAATCGGGGCCAGATTCTCCACGGGAGACCCCCCGCCGCGGACAGAGCATTCGGGGTGGTTCCCAGAGAGCCCCGAGGCCCCCGTCCACGGCGGATGCTCTCCCGCGGAGAATCGGAGCCAGATTCTCCACGGGAGACCCCCCGCCGCGGACAGAGCATTCGGGGTGGTTCCCGGAGAGCCCCGAGGCCCCCGTCCACGGCGGATGCCCTCCCGTGGGGAATCGGGGCCAGATTCTCCGCGGGAGACACCCCGCCGCGGAGAGGGCCCGTTGGAGGGCCCCCCGAGGGCCCCGTCAGCGGCGGATGGTCTCCTGTGGGGAATCGGGGCCAGATTCGCCATGAGAGAAAACCCGTCGCGGACAGGGTCCGTCGGGGTGGCTCCCCGACGGCCCCGTCCGCGGCGGACAGTCCTTAGTGTGGAATTTGGCCCGCGTTGTCAACCTGAGGGAAACTGGGCCGCGTCAGGCCAGTCGAGGCGTCGGCCCGACTAGAAGCGTCAGAGGCGTCATCGGGCGTCAGGCCAATAGAGGCGTCAGGCAGAATAGAGGCGTCACAGGCGTCGCGGGCGTCATCGGTCGTCAGGCGACTAGAGGCGTCAGGCAGAATAGAGGCGTCAGGGGCGTCAGCGGGCGTCAGGCGAATAGAGGCGTCAGACCGAATAAAGGCGTCACGGGTGTCAGCGGTCGTCTGGCCCATCGGGGCGACAGGGCAAGTGGGGCGCCGGGCGAATAGAGGCGTCAGACGGAATAAAGGCGTCAGAGGCGTCATCGAACGTCAGGCCCGTAGAGGCGTCAGGCGGAATAGAGGCGTCGCAGGAGTCATCGGGCGTCAGGCGAATAGAGGCGTCAATCCAACCTACTTGGCCAATAGAGTCTTCAAATAGCGTCTTCGTCTTCAGGCCGAATGGGGAACCAACCGGGCCACCCCCCTGTATGGATGTATATATATATACGGAGCAGAGGCGCATCCTCAGATCTTCTGGGGCGCGCGAGGCCACGGGGCCCCGCCTCGCCAGACAGCCGCAGCATTTTGGAGCATCGAAGTGGGGGGCCCGCCTCGCCGCTGGATTTCGCGCGCCCAGAGCTGAGCCTGCAGAAATCGACCCCGCGATCTCCCTCGGGCGGCCCCTCTTCCAGACGTGGTTCAGATATCAACGACGAGCTGGGCCTGCCCGGGGCGATTCCAAAAGTTTGGACGCACTTTCGAGGCTGGCTCCACTCTCAGCGTCGTTGGCTCCGGGTTAATTCGCACGTGTCGGCGGTCGCCGCCGCGCTTTCCGACGCGGGATGGGGGCCTGCCTCTGCTTGGCAGTGGTCGGATCGCCGGGGCCAGATTTCCAGCGTCAAGCCGTTCAGATGGGACCGACAGCAGATTTTCCCCATTCACATGCAGTTCCTCCTCTCCGCGCGCGTCTGGGGCCTCTCGCCCCCGCAGGGCCACGACTCGACGCGTTTGGAGGAGGGAGGCGGCGTCGCGTCGATGAGGTCGCGCCCGGCGAAGATGCCGGCAGTCGCGAGGGAGCAGCGGAAGAAGATGGAGGAGGAGCTCGCCAGAGACCAAAGAGCCACTCGGGAGGAACGCCTCAACAAGGTCGCCCCCCCACCCCTCTGCGCTGACAGCCATCGCCCGTTCGAAGTGTTGGAGTGAAGCTCGTCGTTTTGAAGCAGGGCTCCAAGATCGAGCCGACTGTTTACTTTGCGGCCAGGCGAATGCAGACGATCTCCGCAAGTTCTGGACCTGCACCGAGCCCCCCTCGTTCGGTCTCGAGGCCATCCAGAAGACTCAGGACTCCATCTCCCGGGCCATCCAGGAGGGCCCCCCACAATGCCCGCCTCTGGCTCCGTGAGGCCGCCCCTGGGAAATGGGCCCTGCAGAGGGTCCACCAGCACATTGCGTCCTTAGACGACGACGTGAACATGGCGTGAGTTTTTCATAGGGTCACGAAGTTCGGTTGCCAGGGCATCCTGATCGGGGCCAACGACGGGGGCGGGCGGGGGGCGCGCCGTGGATCCTCGCCTGCGCGTCGGTGGCTGGGAAGCCGCCCTCTGGTCCACTTCGTGCAGTTTATAGGCTCGCTCTCGAGAGGCATCAGAGGCCGGCAGTCCGTTCCTCTTGCCGAGCTAGCCGCAATCGTTGGGCTTCTCCAAGCCACCGACGGCCCCGTGATCATTGTGACCGCTTGCTTCTATGTCATCAGAGGATTCGTGAAAGGACCCAGGGCCCGTCACAATCGGAACCCGCAGGCTTGGAACGAGGTTTTGGGCGCATGCAGCTCTGAGAGTTCACCGGATTTTCTTCCAGGAGGTCAGAAATCACCCGACAGAGGGGCAGACGGCCAAGGGGCCGCCCTGGGCCTTGTATGTCAACGGGAAACTTGATTGGAACGCAAACTGCGCCGCTCGGGGGCGCAGGGCCCCTCCCCCGCTCGCCCGCCAGATCCAGGGAGCGGACATTCGAGCTGACGTGATTCGGGACCGTCTCTCGACCATCCAAGCTCACTATTGGGAACACCAGGACCTAGTGCCACAGGCGGACGGGGAGATTAACGAGGAGCGTAGACGTCTCAGAGCCCATAGGAGTGCACAGGCCCTTCAGGAACCCCCTCTCAGGACCTCTCATTGCCTCCTCATGGGCCCCATAGCGCCCGAATCTAGCATTGCCTGCCTCAGATGCTTGAAGCAAGACAATGTCAATCTCAGAATGCCCACATGCTTACAGCAACCCTGTAGGCCCAATGTTTTAAGCATTCGCCCGCCACACAACCCCTTTTTGCAGGTCGCCGACCGAATCACTTTGTGTGCTACATGCGGGGGCTGGTCGATCCGGGCATGCAGCAACGTTAAAGCAGCGCGCGCCCCCCCCCCCCCCCCACCGAAGGTGGGAGCAAGGCTATTGCGAAGTAGGCACAAAGGGCGCCTCCCACCACGTCTCAAGTCCTGGCCCATGCCCCAGCTCATCAGGTAGCTGGAGGTCAAGGGCGCCCACGCGAGGCGGGGTTCGGTCCGCTCAGGGGAGCTCGCTGGCCTGCTCGCTCGCTCGCTCGGAGGAGGAGGAGGTGGAAGTGGAGGAGGAGGAGGAGGAG